AATATTACAGAGATATGTTGGGTGAGACTTATCAAACCTACGCTGTATTATGCACTTCAACTACAACCAGTTTCAGATATTGTTGCAGAAGCTCTGAAATGCACTTCAAGCTCAACATGGTTATCTTCTTTGAATAAAATTACATTAGAAGTATTGGTGGATACAATGCCCTAAATATAAGTAGTCCTACAGTTTTTTTTACTCTCTAGTTTCTTAAAATCACAAACTATACAGCCTCACCAGCATAATTGCCATCATCCATATTATTTAGTGCTTCATTGAGGATCTGCTGAATTCGTAACATTGCTCTACATGCAATTTGGTGTGGCATTTTACGGAGTGTTGCAGCAATAAACAGACCAAAATAGTAAAATTCGTCACAAGAATCATTATGTGACTCAACCTCCGAAAGAAGATGTTGAAGGAGAACCACCTCAAGATTGTCACGTACAGGGGCAGGGGGAGGGGCAGGGGCAGTAGGGCGTGGTGGGTACTGTACATCCTGACGGTTCAGTCTACTTGAAGTTGCGCCACTTCCATTTGGAGCTCTTTCTTGCAGGCGGTGTGCGTTTGCACGTTGCCTGCTGCACCGTTTCAATAAATTATAGGCGATAAGTCGCTTGATAATCCCTGCAAAAAACGAGAGAAAGAATAAAAACATAGTGGACGTTTGGCTACAGCAGAAGGTTATGTTTCCGCACTGTTCAATGATAACTTACTTTGTTGCGACTGACTAAACGGGCGACCACGAATGCTGCGTATAGCGCTAAGGAAACAGTAATATTTGATTGCTGGCACGATGGCGGGTGTCATGATGACAAGTATCAAGTGAAATTACAGAAATACTTGGGATAGCAAGAGGCTACTGGACTCCTGTCGCCGGGGTAAACAAAAACAAGCTAGCACCAGACGAGACGACAGACCCGCGACAGACCTACCAAGTCTAACGCAGGAGGTGCCAACTTTGCAAATAAAAAGCCAAAACCACAACCGTCCTGCGAATTTTAGAGTGCCCTCAACCGTCGTCACCAATCCTTTCGAAATCGTTTATTTTTAAAACATGAATGGGAGATGTCTTAAGACGTGCGAGCCAATAGAGCAACGTCTATCGGTTGGGTGGTGGGGGGGGATGGTCATCCTCTACGGCGCAGAGTCGTGGACAATGACAATGAACAACGCCCTGCGGCGCGCGGTCGGGCCAGTGCACGACGAAGAGCGGGACAGGTACGTGTGGCGTAGCAATGAAGAGTGCAGGCGGGTCACCAAGGTGGTGCCCATCATCAACAAAGCAAAGAAGTCCCGCCTGCAATACGCTGCTCACGCGGCCCGCGGCTCTGCGCCCCCAGCGACCTGCGCTGCCTGCGCCATGCTGGACCCCACCCCGCATCCTCCACGCTCGCGGCCCCGAGGCTCACCACGCAAACGTCTCTTCGACCAAGTCGCCCAAGACGCCCGCTCCCTCAACATCGCCTACTGGAAGGAGGCAGCGTAGCATCGAGAGACGAGTGGCGAGCCACCGCCCGCGGGATCGAAGACCAGCCCGACCCCTACGAGACAGCGCGTCAGGAGGCGAAGCAGCGCAAGTTAGACCGAGCAGCTGCGGCAGCAGCAGCAGCAGCGGCGAGGCGGTCCCAGATGAGCCAGCGTAACGGTAGGACCTGTATACATCTTACATCTCTCCCAGGGCCCCTGCACCCTGAGCCTCCCTGAGGGACGAACGCGAGGGGTGCCCTGCCCCCGCCTTTGTTCGGGGACTTTAAGGTTACGCGGGAGACAATTTCGCCTCTGCGCCTCCCTATGCTGGTAATATTAATTTCGTTCCAATATTGCGATAAAACTATGTGTGCTACAGACTTGCGGTTTTTTGCGTCTTGTAGTACTTTTTCAGATCTACTTTCCCATTTGAAAACATCCACAAGATTGTACCCCAATAGGCCTATATTTGGACCAAAAGTTTGCATTTTTCTGACAATTTTGCACAGCTTGCTTTGCCGAGCTCTGGCAGCCTTCCCGTTGGGACAATTTCAAAAACTGAAAAACTGGGAAGTAGAGGAAAGTTTATAGATTGTACTTCCGCCAGACGCATGCTCATCGGAGTGGTAGTTTAGGCTGAATATTGGAACGAAAATGGCATTACACCGGTATACCAAACCGCTATACCCCACGTTTTGGCCGGGAGGGCGAGCCAGGCGAGCTGGCCGGCCGGTAACTGATTTGTCAGGTGAGCGAGCGAACGAGAGTGCATTGTAGTAGTTTTCGCGAATACTCCTGAAGTCGGAATCCTAGTGCCATCGCTGAGGACGCTGGGTTTGCAACTGGAAGCCGGGATCAGCATGTGTGCTCGGCATCGTGCCCCGGTGGAAGGGCCTAGCTATATGAATGGCTCCGGTCGGATCATGAACCTTGGGCCAAAAGAGGCCTCGTGGTTAGTCAAGTCAAGTGAGGGGGATGGGGCGAGGGATAGGGAAGGCCCCCCAAACAAAATTTCGTCAAAATGAGCCCGCGAATGTCAAGATCTGGTCATTTTGTTGCCCTGCGTCGCCATCATTTCCATGACATTGTGTTCTCTGTGGCCTCACAGGCAGGACGGTCCTCTACTGGGAGTAGGATCTCTTCCAGTTATAGGACTCAGTTGTAGCACCACCTCCGCATAGCCCCGCTGCGGGACGGGTGACGGGTGGCTCGCGCCCGAGCTCACGCCTCGCGGGTGCTGCGGCTGCCCGGCTGGCGGCGCTGCACGCTCGGCTGCCTACCACCCCGGGCGCTACACCGCACCGGTGGCGCGGCGGCGCGGCCGGCCTGCTACGCCCAGGGGCCGGAGGGTAAAAGGGGGGGGGGTTGAAAGGTTGTGGGTGGGGGCGGGGGGCTCTACCCGATTGACCTTCCCTCACCACCAGCCTCCCCCCAACCTCATCCCTCCTTGTCTCGAGCAGACCCTACCCCAATATCACCGCCCTCTCGATGCGAACGCAACAAACTGTCGGAACAGCGGAGCTATGATCCCCCCGCAGGCGCTGGCTGTAGGGGTGACGTGGACGTGTACCACAGGGTGGCGCAGCTAGGAGAGCGGTGCCTAGGAGGAGAGGGGGTTATTGCCCGCCCCCTCACCCCCTCTCCACGCCCGGCGTCGGGGGATCGCGCAGTCCTCCCTGGTGTCGTTTTGAAGACACCTGCGACGGGTGACGGCCTTCCGACATCCCAAGGATGCCGTCCAACACACTGACTTGGTCCGCATACAGTTGGGTGCGCATGGGCCGCCGCGCCGGGGCCTAGCCGGGCCGGGGCGTCCCAGCCGTCCAAATGCGCTTCCTATGCTGTGACGTGGCCGTGGGGACGCCCTCCTGGGTGCGCGGGGGAGGGGAGTAGAAGGAGAAAGGGGACGGCTGGCCGAAAGGAATGCGCTTGCGCGGGAGAAGACACCCTACACCACCCGGTAACTCCTGTAACGCGAGGCGACGTGGACTTGTACCACCAGCCACTGTTTATCAAAATGCACGGTGCACTCGCTGGCCTGGCCGCCCCTCGTTGCCATGGCACAATAAATCTGATCCCACAATAAATAGGCTTAAGGCCCTTGTTAAGACAATCTCTTGCTTGTGCCGCCAAAATCTATGCATTTGCGCGAGACAAATTATTGAGTAATGATTTTTCAAGCGATATCGATACACTGTCGCTCAAGAAGTGATGTACTGGGTGACTCGTCGTAAAGTATAAAGCTGCTCTAATCTACCTGAACTCTGTTGTCAGTGCTCACCTTTGTCCTTGAGCAGACTGAGGCCCTGCTTGGCCTGCTCCAAGGGCATGAAGAAGGACGTGAGGGCGGTGTGGAAGCAGAAGCCGCACTTGTAGTTGCACTTTCTGGTGAAGTGGTAATTGACGCTCAGTGGCACAATCCGTTGTGCACCACCCGCACCAACTGGCGCCCTGCACCCGAACAACATCTCTGCCAGATGTCGCAAGAGCGCCCAAAAAAGCCAAAACATGTCCAGAATCTGACCACGCCGAATCAGAAATGCGGTGATCGCCTTCTCCATTTTCACCAGCGTTGCGTCAGCTGTCAGCTTGCTTGCTAGCGGCTATCACGACTCACAACAGCTCACAAACACAGGGGACAGATCACTTAAACAGAAACACCACTTCTTCACAAAATGGAATGGAATGCTGAGGGACGCGTTGCCACGACTAGAAAAAATGTTGACCTCCGAGTCGCGCTTGCCAACCAAGAAGCAGGACGTAAAACGCACTATTCCCTGCTTCTGCTTGGATACCCGGCCCGCGCGGGGCTCCCCCGCGCCCGCCCTCTCTGCGCATGCTCCACAAGCAGTGTAGCCACCACAAAGGAGTATAAACAGGGTTCGACTTACGGGGAAATTGGGAGGGTCATGACGTCATGGATTATCGCGCTCGCCACTCACGAAGATCGCCCAACCGCCCAACGGGTCCGAACCGGCACCCGAGCAGGAGTAAGCGCGAAGACCCAATTCTTGGTGGGAATACCCCATTTGAGACGAACAGGTGAGATTGATATTAAGACCGATTCATGTTCCTCATATGGGCGTTAGTTCACGAGTTTAGGTTGCGATCGGGCTAGTGATGGAATTGGTATAGTATGAATTATCAAGGAGGGTTGTGAACGCCTTCCGCAGAATAATATCGTTTTAATTCTTTTCAAAATTAATCAGAGCTTGCATTAACATTAGTGTTGTGGAGCACTGAACCTTGACTGAACCATCAATATACCAACTCTTTCGTGTGGCTGTGTGGCTGTAACTGTAAGGGTTGCTATGAGGTCAAACGTGAATTATAAGAATCAGAAAACGAGTAGCTTGTAAAAAATTTTAATCTCTGAAAATTCACTTGATAGGGCTCTGCTTGAAAATTATCTTCCTACGGTTAAATATTGATTACTGATGATAAGCTGATAACCAGAGAAAAATTAAGAATCTTAATATGATAGTAATAAAAATGGTGGTAATTGTGCAACCTGGACCTCAAACAATCCAAAAATACCAATTACGGCCACTTTCAGGAGGGGGACCTCATCTGCACAATTACCAAAATTGTAAATACAATTATAAATATTATTAGCGCTAAAGCACAAATAGTTTCTAGCACTGATGGCGCTGATTCATAGAAAGTTTGTTCTTGTGGTCTCTGAAAGTGGTGGCTTGCTTCCAATGGCATTATGGGATGGTTATGGCGACGTCTTACCTCCCTAAAGCTTATGACATACTCTGGGTAAAAAGTGTGATCTTCAAATTTGACTAATGTGGATTTATGGGCCGTAGTATCATATCGAAGAGGATAGCCACCTTCAATAAAGGGAGGTGGATCAAATAAGCAGTCCCGCTGAACCGTAATTATATTGGATACAAGTACGTTGCACAACAGCATTTGCTTTACGGTTTCAAGCTCATCACAGAACAGACTGGAAATATATGGTCTGCGTGAAAAGGATACACCTAGACCTGCAATTTCCAACAAATATGTTAGATCTAAATAGCTTTAAAAGTTTAGGCACAATTTGCAGAGTAGAACTCCTTACAAAATTGAAAAAAAACAAACAAAAAAACATACCAGTTTCTAGACTTCTAACTTGCAAGTTATTTTTTAAAATTGATACCACATTCTTTCTTTTTGTTCCATGAAAAAGATCATGTTCCATAACACTCCCATATTTATTTCTATATAGTGATCGATTGATTTCGAAGCGTTTGTGGAGCCTGTGGTTAGTGACCTCATATATGGCTACAATTTTTAACTCTAAGGTTTCAGAAAGATTTGTAGCACCTCTTCTGTGAAACACTTCAAAAATACAATAAAGAAAGTTAATATAACACCTGCAATGAGTTATTGGCATTTAAAAAGAAACTCACATCGGGAAATGTCTCTGTAATCAGGGTCACTAATACTTAGCTTGGTTATTGAAAAACTTGGGTACAGATTAATTTCAGGATATAGAAATAAAGCACTTTTCATATAGTCGAATGTCAATGGCTTTGCAATGTGGCCTCGAGGCACTTTTTGAAAGTCTATGACATAAGCTGGATAAAAAGTGTGATCTCTAAACTTAACAATCACATCCATAGTTTCTTTGTTTTTTGCTGTAGTATCATATTGAAGAGGATAGTGACCAGGAATAAAGGGGGGTTCATCGAATGGCATGTTCTCTGGAATCTCAATTATATTGGATACAAGTACCCAACACAACAGCATTTGCTTAACTTGTTCAAACTTATCACAGTAGTGACTGGAATAATATGGGATGGCTGAAAAGGATACACCTGGACCAAACCTGTCTCCTGCAAATTCAGAAAAAATATGGTTAGAACTGGGGTTTGATGGAACAACATTTGCAGAATAATATAAATTGAGAAACAACATACCGCAGTTCAGACCATGTCGGCAAACTTCTAAGTTATCTTTCAAAATTGAAGGTATATTTACTCTTTTTGTTCCATGAAACAACCTGAGAAGTTGAACATGCCCATGTATATTTTTATAACGTGCTTGATTGATTTGGAAGCGTTTGAAGAGCTTTGGGTTAGTAACTTCATGTATGGCAACAATTTTTAATTCAAAGTTTTTGGAACTAGCACCTTTTCTGTGAAAGACTTCAAAAACACAACCAAAAAACATTTAAAAAATAAAAATCATCTGATGTTAATTTCTAACGAAGGAATGAACTCACATTCTTGAACTTCAAGGTATTCAATACCATCAGGCGTTAAAGTATTTAACTCAATATGAGTCATTTTTTTTTGGTAAATCAATCACCTTCTTAGAACTATTACTCAAATTTAATTTGTTGTAAACTTTACCAGGATAAAATTTCATGGCACGGGATTAAAAAGGCATTCGATTCAAATCAAACATCTGTCTAATTTTTTCAATAGAGTTCTTGGTGCACTTGTTGATGTGTTGGAAGACGATGACGTGACGTAGAGGGATGTAAAGTAGCTGGGGCAGGTGGGGGGGATGATCAGGCTGACAAGGGCCACTGACGTCACTCTGAAAAGCCGAACAAGCGCCAAAACCTGCTCAAAAATCAGAGTAATATTTCTCATCAATATTAAGGTGCCTTTTCAGCGCTGTTTAAGACTCCGAGTTTCAATCCTTGAACTTCAAGGGGTTTTTTCCTTTTCCCCTCTCAGTTCATATTGCCCAAATGGGACCTCGCTTGAGGCTATAACCTCTAGCTGTAGCCTCAAGCGAGGTCCCATTTGTAGCCTTCGGCGTACGACCTACCACAGTAGCGCCCAAACCGCCAAACGTTTTAAATGCGCTTCAATCGCGTAGAAATCCACATAAATGGTGACACGTTGGTGACGCTTTTAAGCACATTGAAGCATTTAATGCGCATTTAGTACACATTGCAGCATTTAATGCGCATTTAGTACACATTACGTGCATTTAATGCATCACCAAAGTGTCACCTTTTATGTGCATTTCTGTGCGCATTGAAACGCGTTTAATGCAGTATTACCACGGTGCGCTTAGGTGCTATGGCCGTCGCTATCTGGACAGGCCCCATGCGGCCCCATGCCTTTTACGCCTATCCTTTTATACGCATTTCTATGCTCAGTGCCGCATTAAATCGCATTTAACTACATTCCCTAGAAGCGCCACCGCATTAAACGCGCTTCAATGCGCATTGAAATGCACATAACAAGAAAAATTATGGTTTACGCCACTAAACTAAAATTTATTGCTAGGTATGTCGACCGAAATATTTTCGAAAGGACAGAAAAGCAGGAATATAACATTAAAGGATGATCTGTTATCTGTTCTAGGTTATATCTTATTTATTCCTCTTAAGTGCTACAGCCTAATTGACAGGTACTGCGACGTCCTCTGACGTTCAGCACCTTTCACATTTTTCAGTTAGAGTAAGTAGCCTACGCCGAAACTGCCGGGCTGCCAGGTTGTGTCCACGTTCACTTACTACCTTTGCCAGGCCGCAGGGCAGGGAGTCTGACAGCGGGCCGGGGCAGGGTGTGGG